CGCCAAAATCCATAACATGCCTTAAAATTACAGAAATGCCAAAAATGATCCCAAAATACCTAAGCTGCCGAAAATCTTGTAAAACGTCCCAGAATGGTTAAAATCGCATAAAATGTCATCCATGGCTTAAATGCGCCAAAATCCATAACATGCCCTAAAATCACCCGAAATGGCAAAAATGCCCCAAAATACTCAAAATGCCCAAAATGATGTAAAATGTCTAAAATACCCCAAAATTCCTAAAATTACCTAAAATGCTGTTAAATACCTAAAATGCGCTAACATGACTAAAACGCGCAAAAATCCATAACATGCCCTACAATCACCCGAAATGCCAAAATTGCCCCAAAATACTCAAATTGCCTAAAATGATATAAAATGTCTAAAACGCCCCAAATTACCTAAAATGCTGTTAAATACCTAAACTGCGCAAAATTGGCTAAAACGCGCTAAAATTCATAACATACCCAAAAATCACCCAAAATGTCAGAAATGCTCCTAATACCTAAGATGCCCAAATTCTTGTAAAACGTCCCAAAATGTTTAAAATGGCATAAACTGTCATCAATGGCTTAAACACGCCAAAATCCATAACATGCCCTAAAATCACCCGAGAAGCCAAAAATGCCCCGAAATACTCAAAATCCCAAAATGATGCAAAATGTCCCAAAATGTTTAAAATGACATAAAATGTTATCAATTGCTGAAATACAGCATTATAACAGCATTATAACCTAATCTCGCAATTTTTCGAGACATCCCGTCATTGTTGGCCTTCTCTTTGCCATCTTTGGTCCACAAAAAGAATAATACGCATTTCTTATTCAACTTAAATACCATGAGAATCAACGAGATATCTATGGGAGGCATTACTATCATAAAATACCTAAGTTCAGATCAACATATCCAATCTCCAACTCATGCATAAGATATCATTTATTGTAAATTATCGTAATATAAGAAAAATTATCGACTGGACTCAGGCTTTTGATCACCATTGTATGTCCAAAATTTCAAATGTTTTAAAGGTGGTCTTATCCACCTTGATAATTTTAAAAATACCTGGGTATCTGTCAAAAGTTTTAAAAATTTTGAAAACACTGTATATATTTCAAAAAATTTAAAAATATTAGAAATTTTAAAAATATTTGGGTTAATAAATCTATTGTTATATAGGTGCTTTGTATTTTATATGTGATTGGTACATTCGTAGTCACATGACTTTAAATAAATGCAATGTTTCCCGCCAGGAAAACAAGTAAAAAATTTTTGCCCGCTTCATATCATAACAGAGTAAAGTGTTTTTTAATTAAATGAAATTGTTCTGTATCATGTATGTTTTCGTTCCTATATAACAAAACATTTAATGTACACTACCTCGGGAAATAGTGAGTTTTGTTTTCCCTCGACTTCGTCTCGGAAAACATTCACACTCTCGGGAAAAAAAACTCACTATTTCCCTCGGGAGTATACATTAAGTGTATAATGTTATATACTAGCTGTAAACAAATTCTTAACAGCGTTCATTAAGGAATCTATGGCGTTTATTTACTACTCCGCCTGCACAACAGCGCCCGCGGAGTCTTAAAATGCCCGTCGTCATTGTTGCAAACGCGCTTCTTTATAAATGGATGCATGTAGGTGCATCTGTAGGTGCATCTGTGGATAACCTGACGTTGGAACCTTTGAAGTCCTACACAACGAATATGGCGGAACTGTAGTAAAAAACTAGCGCCTAAATACAGGAAAGGCACAGTTCATTTCATTTAATTATTTTATATTGCATGAAGTTTATTAATGTAAATAGGATTGATGATAAAGGATGATACTGATGTACACGGCCAAAAATTGATCAGGTTGTCGCATCAGAAGTGAACAATGTTGTGCTGCACCCTGGGAACAGTATTGTTAGCAATGTTACTGAACCGTGTTGAATCATCAATGTTGTTGCAATCACGATGCAGTGCTGTTGAAACAAGTTGCAACAACGTTGATGATTCAACAAGCTTCAACAACATTGTTAACAATACTGTTCACAGGGTGCAGCACAACATTGTTCAACCCTTTTTTAAACAACCTGCATGCATCAACATGATGATTTTTACGCGTGTAATCAGTGATGTAATGTTTCACAAGTTTCATACTTCATGTAATACTACTAAAATAAACTGTGCCTTTCCTGGATTTAGGCGCTAGTTAATAAAATATTATCCTCTGTTTTTCTATATGTTTGTATCCCACGATTTAAATAAGTAATTGAGATCATGCATTTTAGTACCGGGTGTCCCAGAAAAAAGTACTCCGGTTTGATTCATAATAGCTTCTAAACTAACTAAGCTATTAAACTGAAATAACTTTCACTAGATAGAGGGAAGACTAACTTAGATTTTGATACAGTTGTATTTTACTTAATATATTATATTACAGTTGTATATTACAGTTGTATTTTACTTAAAAATTCACGGAGATATCAATGTTCAAAATTGGTAGCATATTTCTGGATGTGTCTAAATTATGCAAAAAACACTGTATCAAATATTAATCAAGCTTTTCTCAACTGAAACATGCAGTATTAGCAGTAAATAAGCACACGCATACTCTTTGATCTTTACTTAATCTTGGCATATTCAGGATAAACTCAAAATAAGACACATTCAAACCATAATTCTATAGGGCACAACATGCAACTCCCCAGGGACATTCAACATTTTTCGAACAAAACGTAACGAAAACAATAGCGCTGAAACTGTTCTATGTGTAATTGCAAAAAGGCTGTATTATTTTCTTCATTAAATAATAATACTTCGTTTCATAATAAACAATTTGTCAAGTGTCATTTATTTACTGCTAATAGTGCATGTTTCAGTTGAGAAAAGCTTGATTAATATTTGATAGGGCATTTTTTTGCATAATTTAGACGCATCCAGAAATATGCTACCAATTTTGAACATTGATATCTCCGTAAATTTTTAAGTAAAATACAACTGTAATATATCAAAATCTAAGTTAGTCATTCCTCTATTTGGTGAAAGTTAATTCAGTTTAATAGCTTAGCTAGTTTAGAAGCTATTATGATTTAAATCGGAGTACTTTTTTCTGGGACACCCAGGCCATCGCTGATGATTACGATTTTTGAACTAAGAACTATGCTTACGAGAACTTTGCTTTAGAGGCAACATTCTTCCTTACTGACTGCATTATATTTCTGTAGGCGGAGTAAAGGCATGAGCTGGCGTCTTGTAGATTCGTACAAGCGACGCAACGCTAATTATTTTTTGCCGCGCTTATTTAATAGCACCGCTTATTCGATAGCCTGCTCGCTGACTGAATTAGGGGGCCGGAAATTACAGGGGGAAATTGCTGAAGAAATGAAGGAAAAACAAATTTTCCCCCTTCAATTTCCGGCCACAGTCGGCTCTACGGTTTCATATTCATTTTCACATTCATATTCAGATTCAGATTAAGACATGAATATGAAAATACCCGGTATCTGACGTACCAAATGTGGAATAACTCCGCGCGCTTCTTTCCATGCAATAGATTTTCTCTGCGAGTCATTCTTGATCAATGCATTAGACATTATTTGAGGATATTTTGAGTTTATTTGACCCAAGCACGAAGTCCAGAAAATTCGCAGAAGCTGCATGGCTAAAATATAAATTCATGCTGCGTCGTATTGCGGTTTGTGATCAGCGAAATACTTTTCGTTATTACTTATTTCTCTTCAAAATACGCCTTTCATAGTGAACTATACTATATATCTTCCATAGTGAACGTCATTCTTTGTATGCATGGATATAATCAATTGTATTATTGAACTTTTGATTTGAAAGCGCTCGCCGTTTACTCAGGAAAATTCGCAAATCGCAATCAATGTCAAACGGCTTTTGTCATTTCACTCGAACAACAACATCACACTTGCGAAATAAAATCCCTCGCACCGGCCACTCGTGCGCTTAGAAGAGCTCTCATCGAAAGTCTTTTCTCCACAATTATAAATTGCCCTGATATATTTTATATATTCAAACAATTTTCTGTTTTGGCTAGAAAATTCGCAAAACACAACCGGCGCTTTTGGCAATTATGCGGGTGGCCGGCGGTTGAAAATCACTAACAGTGTGATTTGTCCAAGTGTGAGCACAATTTTAATTTGTTTCTGGGTTTTTTCCAGCAGTTGACAATAAATTGTGCACAAGTATATAAATATTTTTATAGAAGTCATATTTGTCTCAAAGAATAATGACGTCGTTTATTACGTAAACTGTTGCGCACAACCACCCGAGTAAATTTGTCACAAACGCAAATTTCGTGCTGTTTCATATTCATTTTCATATTCGCTGTAATTACGTTGCTCGCAGTAAAATGTAGAATTACTAAGTTTCTTTTCATGCGAAAAGCTCATCCATGAAAGTCATTCTTGTTGAATATGAAACCGTAGAGCCGACGGTCCCAGCCTCGTACCCAGGCGCTTTAATATATAGTAAAAAATAATGTTGCATTCAGTTATTGTATAGAGGTCAGCTAAAAAAAAACCAAACCTCCCCAAACCTCCCCAAGCACCCTTGCGCGCTTGCTTTTTTCAGCTGAACTCTATACAATACCTGGATGCAACGTTATATATTTTAGTATTAAAGCGCCTGGGTACGAGGCTGCGACGGTCCCTATTTAGTCTGCGAGCAGGCTACTTATTCGATTAACGCACTGATCAGTGGATTAACGCCGCTTAATCGATCATTTACGGTTCCCCCCCGGCCCTCACAAATTTGTTGCTGAATCCCAGATCGTTTTATGCTACGTAAGCAGGCATGAGCAGGTATGCCAACCTCGTCCAGGCATGCATGCAGGGTATATATTGCAAAATCATATAGAAAACTTTAAAAAAACATCACTATCTCTATAAAAACCATTAATTTTTCTGATATTTGGATTTCAATCAATAGAAAGTTATAGCTAGAAATCAGTTAACCGTGGACAAACATAACATCTAGATCTGTACTTACTTTTTACCGGAGGAATATGTATAAACACCCGAGCCATGCATCTTATCAGATTTCCAACATCCTTGATAAAGGTCACCATTGTTGAAATGATATTCACCGTAACCATGTTTCTGTCCAAAAACATTTCTTTCGCCATCGTAACGAGAAATCACTTCAGGTTGATCATAATCATCTTCGTTTGTTATACATGGACAGAGCAATTGTAATATTGAACTTGAAGCCATAAAAATCTTGTCGGTATGACGGTATTGTTGATTGTTCGTATTCGTATTGACTATATCATTGACATTGCGTAAACTAATTTTCGTGGTATTACTTGATATAAACAGAACGATATGGTATATATATTCTTCGCTCCTGAATGAACGTCAGAGGTATATTTACAGCCAAAACATCACAATTGCTTCAGTAAATTGATTCTCGTCAGACTATGCAATATTTTGTGCGAGCGGAAGTATTTTGAATGTGATTGTCATACGATATCATAGATGTGAAACGTCATAGCTATATATAGGTAGGATTAACTATGATTAAACACGATCGAACAAGTATTAAATATCATTAAATATTATGCAAGCAAGTTTTCAGCGAACAAAATCTTCCACATTTTTTAAAGTTATCAAATTTTGTAAATCTAATTAAAATCTAACCTATTTTGTAACCTAATTCTTCCTTCATTTTTTGCTTGGCTCAAAAACCTGCCGGTAATCACGGTGAAGGGTTAATAAAGCTTTTTAAGTATTATTTCATTGTAATTCTCGAAATTACGTCAGAGGATTAGCGTAATGATTTCGATTAGGGATTGGATTAGGGATCTGGTCAGCAAGGTTTAAAATAGGATTAGCGTAAATAAAAACGTATTTTGTTCCAAATGGCATTTTGACATCCGGAAAGAATACCTAATGACATACCCAATGAATACCTAATGACGCACTAGAGTTTTAATCATTCCCAAGTTTTTATTATCAGGCAGTCGCCTGTTCAGGGAATAGGGAGTTTGCGATTCACGACGCACTTGAGCACCAAAGAAACTCCACATGCGAGACAATAGGTATACATAACTTGTGTTCCCATGACAGCGTTAATAGTGAGCTTTAACAGTGACTACCAGTACGAGATTCGTCATTCTCGCGCGTTGTTTGCTTACGCCATCAGCCAAAACTCGTAGTCGTTGGACTTTTGAGTACGAGTTTTTTTATAAATTTCTTAATCAAAAGCCCAACGACTACTAGTTTTGGCTGATGGCGTAAGCAAACAACGCGCGAGAATGACGAATCTCGTACTCGTAGTCACTGCTAAAGCTCCCTATTGTCATTCTTACAACGCCTTAAAATGAGGCAATTTCACAGCTCCTCGATGTTATAAGAGCAGCTGCGAAGTGATAGCTGTTTTAGAGCTTATATAAAGAAACTGCAATATCAGCTAAAAATCGGAGGTATTTAGCACAATTGAAACGTTTGTATGATTACTTCAAAGTCCTGGCAGCATAATTAATTTCCACTAGCTTAATTCAAGCAAAATAATTGACTGGCGACGTCGAGCTAATTAATAAATTAATAAAAACTAATAATAAAGCTAATAATAAAATTAATAAAGCCAATTAATGGAGAAAACACGTTTGCTCCACGCCCAAGGCGAAGGAGATCGCTGATTTTTATTTTCCACATCTCTTATTTTCACTTATCTTTTATTTTCCATTCATCTTGTCTCACATAGAAATTGCAGAAGTGTTTAACTGAGTGACTGCACACGTGTATAAGCGTGTTACAGAAAGGATTAAAAACATGTAGTTTGTCCTGCGTTCAGTTCCACGTATTCAGGAAATACATCCATCTCGATTGACGGTCGCCAGCTTTTGCATGCACGAACTTCAAACGTATGTAGAAGTAGCTAATGCAACAAATAAATAACCGTTACAGACACTACAGAATTCGCAAATTTGCTATCACACAAATAGGTTCCATAGTTTCACGACGACAAATCGTATTTTACATGTCTTTTTTACGTCAATCCTGATGACTTGAAGGTGATGGTGAAGGTTTGCTTGTTTTGTCTTCACCCAAGCAAACGTTATCAGACATCATGGAAACCTCCCCACAAATAGACACCAGTCATTCCCTCAAACTTATCCTGTCCTAACCTTTTTCTGTTTTTTCCGTTTATTTTTAGAACTAGTAGATTCTTCTAAAGCCTGTAAAAAATACAAACATCGCCATTAAACTATAAAATATACGATCATGGTGGGCTAAAATCGTGTCATCAGCTATCTAGGTATAAAAAAAGGTATTTACATCGATCCATGCAAAAGAGGTCAACTTAAAAAATATATTTAACGACATGTATTGAATTGTACATGCAGTTTCATCTACGCACGTAAAAAATCACATGTCATCGTCTAACTATAGTCTGCAAACAAGCTGTAAACACGTTCTGTTAACATTGCTCGTCCCAAGCTGCCAACAAGTATGGGACAGCCTGTCCACATAAGTCACAGCAACGAATGTTGTTGAGTCATCAGACTTGTTACAAGTCTGAAACAAACATGATCTAAAAATACTGTCACAATCTTGTGTTGCCGAGGTTGTAGCAAACCTTGTTGTATCATAACTGTGTCAGATTTTGTCAAAACAAACTTGTAAAAGTCTGCCATCGGACTTGCTGTTACAGCAATTTGGAACAAGCAGTGCATGCGAACACTGTCATCATCACATAAGAACGTGAGCGTTTTTATACGCGTGTCTTCAATATAACAACCATGTAATGTTGTTGCCCATGCATATTATATGATCTAGGCAATGCAGTATAATAATATAAGAGCAACACAATATTATTGGGAGAGGTGCTTACCAACGATTTTCGCTTTTCTGGCTTGTCACTTAAAAATCAAAAGCAAAAGTTAATCAATGCGGACTATAAGGAAAGGAAAAGCATATTTTCATCAACAACTAGTTAAAGAAATGAATACCTTGCAATACTGATCATTTGAGATGGTCCTTTGCCCTTCAGAGCTTCATTCCAGTCATTGTCTTTACCAGCAATTGCATACCTTATTCAAATAAAAAGAAACGGTAAAGCGAACGTTTTTTACGAGTCAAAAACTTGCTGTTTGCTGTTGGATCTTTTCCCAGTTTCTAATATGTTAAGCAAAGATCTGCCCTCTCATTTTAGCACCCCCCCCATATTTGCCAATGGACTTTTTTCTGGTAAACTCTTTAGTCTTTAGGCAAAAATCACTCCAGGGACGGTTGAAAATCCCTCCAAAATTGGAGTTCACACTGGAAAAAGTGTGAAATGAATATATAAGTAACTGCAAACGTACTGGCTTAAATCCATTGATTTTAACATTTCTGTTTTCTCTTTTTGTTTTTCCTTTATTTCTTCAGCAATTTCTTCCTGTAAATGAAGTTCAAAATTGAGAATATCTCGGATTGTTTTAACCAATCAAGTTATAAGTATATAAGTCTATATATATATATATTCCAATTAACGTATGACGTATAATTTCTGCAGCAAACAAGTGCAAGGTGCACTTGTGAAATGACAGCATATTGTAAAAAGTATTTTCCCCTTAGGAGCTGCACCACAGTTAACTAAGACCTGATTCAGTATGTCATGTTGTACATCTGTGTCTACAGAGTGAGCATGACAAAATATAAAGGGGTTCTTTGTTCAGGATTTCTGAAGCTGCATTAATTCTAACTATGTTTTCGATATGTATAGTCAGTGTATATCCAGTGTATTATTAGACCAGTGATAGCAAAGCTATGAACTGTGCGTGTGTAGAGCAATCTTAATCGACGATTTTGAAGTGCACTAGAATATACGTGCAAATTCTTTACGAACCTTCTTATACTAGTTCGGTTTCGAAATAACAATGGCTAGATTTAATTGTAGCTTATAGTTTAGCAAAGACTCTACTTTAGCATACCAGTTCTTCATTGAGATCTTTAGCCAATGGTTCCATGATTATTTCCTTTTCCTTCGTCATTTCGCTCTCAACTGCTGACTCAAGGATCTCGTTAAAATTCTGAAGTAGGAGTATGTTTATACATATTTTTGTATTTGATTGAATGCGATTTATTAAAAAAATGAAGTAGAGCAGTGTTTTCTAACCTTGACAACTTTTCTGATAACTCTACTAAACAGACCCAGAAGTTGACTGACCGGCAACTGTAGCTCTTTCTAGAAAACAAATTATTAGGTTATTTGGGAAAATATTTTATCATCAAATGAATGTCATCGCAAATTGTTACAACCGCTAAAAATCGCGTGGAAAATGCTTTTCCCGCGTTTGTTTTCTACTCTTCTATATGCAACCACAGTGTACGAAGAATCGAAATAAGTCTATTGCAAGTATTTATCAACTCGTTATATGAGCGTTATATGTACACCATATCGAATGCCTATATGTTCAATATTGAATATAGCGCCGTTATGATGAAATAAACCATTGATAGTACTGCTTTCGTAGGCGATGTTATAATAGCGAGGTTTAGATTTGACTACCACTACGACTACCACAACCTTTGAGGGAATATAAACCAATCAAATGTGATAGGTCTATCAGACTAACCAATCACGAGCTTAATAGATTAGCGAGAGGTTGCGGTAGTGGTAGTCAAATCTGAATAAGATTTATGGAATCAAAATTATACCTCAAGGTCTTCCATAGTCTTGTGTTGCAGACCTATTCCCATGAGTATTGCCTGGCAAAAGTAATGCAACAAAATCAGAAAACATATATTTAAGCCATTTATAACGAAGACATTCCTATAGACCCCATGTATATATAATATACCCGATTTAAGTCTAACAAAATACCAAACTCACGCTTTGCACACCAGACAAATGGAAGTTCGTCTTTTGTAAGAAAAACAGTCGGGATACTGAAAAAAACCAACAAATATATTCAAGGTATTAATGAGTAAAATAAGTAAAACACGCTTTAAAAGATATTTACACTGTTTAAACTGCACCTACTCTCGAAACGGGCAAAAACGAAACTGAAAAATAGTATATTTTAATTTAATCGGAGGTTGTCACTCTTTGAAAGTGGTGGTGCTCGAGATATTGTCTATAGGAAATAACATCTAACTACTACAGTTAGCTATACTATAGCCACATTAGTGAGGGGCCCGGAAGATACTTAAGACTGGAGGTATAATATTCATATATATTCGTGTTCTGCATTATCAGTTTATTTTGGACTGTTTTGACGGTCTGTCAACACGACCACCCCCCACTTAAGGATCTTCCATGGCCGCTGTTAGTAAAAGAAAAGAAGCGAGAAGCTGAGAAAAACAAAAACATACCTGCAGGGAGTAGGTCAGTGATTAGATGATAGTCAACCAAGTTTTTTGAGTACATATCAAGTCTTTTAATATCGTACTTTGTTAATACGCTGTACAATTCTGATTGCGTTAAACCTTCGGCAAAAAAAGAACAAGACCCAATTATCCATCAATTGCACTGATGAAGGCCCGGGTTAACGGACCGAAAGCTTTGCAGTATTAGATACTTACGTGGTGTAGCTACAAGCTAAATTACATATCGACTGTCACCATGCAAACATACAAGAATATTATTATAGATGAGAGAAGACTCTCTCTACTCTCATCCTCTTGTAAAGCCTTGGAGGAATGATAGAAGAGAAAGGAGGAGAAATAGCAGAGAGAGGAGGGGAGATAGAAAGAGAGAAGGGGAGATAGGAGAGAGGAGGGACGATAGAGAAAGAGGAGGAAGATAGAAGAGAGAGGAGGGACGATAGAGAGAGAGAAGGGGAGATAGAAGGGAGAGAAGTGGTGAGCGAGGAATACCAAAGTTTTTTTTTAAAGGAACAAATATTGAATACTTCTATATTGTTTATGTTCCTCTGTGAACGACCCTAATAGAGAATACATAATATAATGATGAAGAGGGGGTCAAATTTGATGCAGTTGCACTTTCCATATCTCTTTTTCAAACAAGAGTAAACTTGACTTGTTACACAGTCATTTTAACATGTAGTTTTCCGGTCTATCTACATTTATAATTTATATATTTGTACCACATGACGTACCTTGATTACTACCAACAAAGACTTTGTTTTGTAGCACACTTAGCGCCAGAGTCGCGGAAAATAAACCAAATTGAAACGACAGCAAGGACAAGAATCGTCGTCGAAAATCTAGCAAGTCAAGAACACGTTATTTTTAAAATTATTTTGGTGGAACACTCGTCTGCTTAAACTTTCATACCAGCTGAAGACTTTGTTTTACAGTCTACTTCATATAATTTTAGTGTTGCCTAAAGATTCGATAAAAGTTTCTAGCGATGTTCAAGACTATATATATGGAATTAACAAACACGACTCTGATTGGTTGCAGACACAAATATAGCCAATCAAATGCCAAACTTTCATAAACTTCAGTTGTAAACTTTTCAATTCCTAAAATATTTACGAACTTCAAAATCAATAAAGGCTTCGAAAATATTTTGGACATTGACAGAGCTAAGAAACATCCGATAGTAATATATTTCTGTTAAAAATGACCGATGAATCTGATTATGAACCAAATAGATAATGTTAAAAAAAAATTGCATTTGAACATGCATGATTGAAACTATAATATACAATAAATTAGCCCAGCTTTTAGTAACTAACCAGTCCAAAACGCAAGTAACCATCCCGAGGTGCCATTTTCATCAACGTGATGAAGATCTCGTAACATAATGCAGGAATGTTCACCTGTCAGTTCGTTCTAGATGAAAAAAACTAATGGTTAGTCCTAAAATTGCAAAGTGAATTTCTTCACAAAACACTAAATGAAATTACTCACAGCAGTCTGTCTTATGTAAACTGGAACGAAAGATGACTTTTTCCAAAATCTAAAGATAATCAAAATCTCAGAGGTTTATACAACGATTATCTTAATAAAAAAGGAAACAGTGAAGTGTCAATGTGTCAAAAGCCATGTTTTACAATTTTCACTATGTATGATGTAATCATGTAACCTGGTATAAACTTCAATAAACTGGAAGCACAAGGCCTACCGTAAAAGATCATTAGTCAATCCATACGACACACCAAGATAATCCAGCCTTTCTGCACAGCGTTCATTCAATTTTAATAACAATGGCGGCAGATTATTGCGAGGACCGATAGTTTCTTTAAGTAGATCACCAGACTAACAAAATTACACAAAAATTGCACATTTTACAGCTGATTTTTAATGCTACAATCGTTTTTCTCAACATCCTAGCATTTCTAAACAATAGAAAATGGTTAATTTGAATTTATTTTAATGTCAATTTAGGTTTGTTTCCATCAATTCGGCTATAAAAATAGCGAGAAAAGATTTAAATCATGGTTCGTTATTTACACAATTCAACATCTAATGACATAAACGTGTAAAAAGAAAAACATACACACGCCGTAAGTACATGGACTGCGTTATTTGAATGATTAATTTCAAACCCATTTAGTCGCCCCAATTTAAAAATGTTAAAACATGCATGAATAACCTCGTTTAAATCAGTTGGCTGAATTTCTTGATCTGTTGGTTGAACAGTGCTCTCTGAAAGGTCAGCTATCTTGCCTTCGTAGTATTGAATTAATAACTGTAAAGCTCGTTTACCATAACCCATCTTAAAATACATGAGAAATATATTAGAAAGGAAATTATGGAGGATTATAACTGTTTTCCGAGACGCTCACTTTTGTTTCGATTCATTAATCTGTTTTGTGTTTACCCGTCAAGGATACGAGACGTTTTGAAATTCTTTATTTCGCTACGTGTCGAGAGGTTTACTCTACCCGTCTAAAAGCCCAACCTGTTCGCAGACTAAATATTAATTTGCTGGAAATTTTTGAAGCAGAATATTGCCTCAAATCGCCAAACTTCCGTACGGAACCAAAAACAAGAATAGAAGTTGTAAAACTAGTGATGGTAATTTAGAGGCGACTACTTACCCCCTGGTAGTCAGGATGAGTGGCGATGCGAACTATTCTGCCACCAGACAAACTGGGAAACTCGTAATCATTAAACTAAAATGATAAAAAATCGTTTCACTTGGTTTCTTTTCATAGGTTCGTTAGGCTTCTAAATGAATATAAACTGAGAGACGCGATAGGGAGAACCCCACCCCCGCCCTGCAGATTCTTCTCTCTATAATTTATACTCTAGCTACAAAAAACATACATGCATCTTCGACAGAGAAAAGTTCACATAACAAAGGAATATAAAATACCTGCTGAGATATGGTCCATGGTATCAAGTCCCCAGATGCTCTTTTACCACGCGCTAAACTGTTCATTATTGAAGATTTGGATATTTCACCTTCCAAACATACCTACAAACGAACCAGATACATGTAGTTAAAAAATCTGTCATGCACTTGTTTGGTAACTCTGTCAGACCAGTTTCATCTACTTTCTTGCCTATTTTGAGATGAATATTTTGCAGATTGTTTGACAGTTCCATAAGACCAGAGTCGACCCAAGTTGTAAATATTATGTGTAATATATATTTATAGTAATATACCTACTTGTATGACACAGAATACTTCAGGTAATGTTTTCTTGGCAGGATCAACAGGACCAAGCAAGCAGAAAATATGATGAGCCGGAGCATCTGATAACAACTGAAGATCATTCGGCGTGTTCTATCGTAAAAAATAAATACAATATCTTAAAACCATTAAACATGTAGAAGACGAAACATTCTGCTGGTAAAATGTTTTGCTTTTGAATAATACAGAATCATTTTTCGTCTACGGGAGGCAAAATTTGAATTAAAAACTAGCCTAAAGGCGCACGATTGACATTTAGACTGGGCTCAGATATAGACACAACTATACGCAATCATCATTCTGAAATACACATGATGACAGGGTTTAAAATGAAACATAACGTTAATTTCACAACACCAGACGGAATCTTTTCCAGGAAAATGTAGGGGGACGGGCTTGACCTACGCCCCGCCGCCTGCTCGACGGTCCAAACATGATATATTGATCACGGTATTGTCCATGTATTGTCTTGTCTTCGGATACATCACATAATGAAATATCCCTGACTCTCTATTTATCCGAAACCATGATGATAACAAGCACAAATATTTTGCTTCATTTGGAATACACGCCACATCATAAACCAAACCAAGCATCTTTAAACCACACCATGATAAAGATAATCTTATGTTTTTCATTGATTCTCCCGATCCATTTGCAGCAAAAAATGGTCAAATTGGACGTTACCAAGTTGCCGTTCTTGACTGGCAATTATTGGCAGTATTTTGAAAGACGATAAAAGATTTTTAACCTACCTTCAGATACATGCCACAAAATGGTCTGTACCTGGGGGCAGGTAAGAAATCAATTATTCATTTATGTTCTTGTTGAACAAATCTACAACAGCCCCACTATCACGATTACTGTATTATAGCACTACCGCAGTACGATTCCCGCCAAAGGTAGCCTCAATTTCCTTAATTCGTGTACAGTACGCCGCTATTGTTTATTTCATCATGCTTTACCCAGAACAGCATGAGTTTATTCCAACGGTACAAGAAACTGCTATAATCCAATTGTTGAAATCTACAATAAAATTGTGAGAAATGCTGTGGCTACAATATTCTTCCTTACCTTATAATGCGAAGATACATAAAGTGACATAATTCTCTGAAGAAACACTTCTGAAGCTTTATGATATGAGAAAAGCGTATCTCTGTTTACGTAATATCTGAGATAATAGTTGTTAAAGAAACATTCAATTATTGAAGAGGATAATGTATTCGCCTTTATCAAATACTGGGATGAAGCGTAGAATACCAAATACAGTAGAATATATGACGAGCATGTATTAAATTTACTTCATTGTATAATCAAAAAACCCTTTCGATAATTACGCGATAAGATTATCATTTTCAATTTAAAACCGCCTTTAATGATATACAGTAACTTCTATAGCGCCAAACCTTTTCGGTAACAACGTAACAACTTTATTGTTTTTCCAACTTAGAATAGAGTAAAGCGAAATGAATTTCACGTTTTGCTCTCACGAACTATTTTCTAATAAACAAAACTTTCTTTCATTAACACATGCATGAAACAAGAACTTTCATTTTGACAAATAAATAAGAAATAAGCAAGAAAACGAGGCCTCCGGTTTTGCCCTGGGAATGAAAGGATACAGATCACAGGCATCAGGCAGAGGGCAGCCAGATGAAAACTTTGGTACAATCGTAGCATCAAGACACAGCAAGTGATTCAACCAGTCTTCCACAGCATCTCCGGGTGAATAACGAATTGACTCATTCAAAGATACTTCTGATAAAATACGGCTCGCTGAACTTCCAGTGTTGGTATCATTGCTGTTTTTAGATTCACTCGTTGTTCTTGTACCCAAGCCTGAACTTTGGACACGCAGCTGACTTATTAACTTCAATGACAGTGATCGACCAGTTCCCTCGTATCTGATTTAACAGAAACAATAAATTGATTGCAAAATGTAAACGTACTGTACATACAGCCCTGCCAAGTTCATTAATACGCGACTAGCACCAAGGAGTCAAGTGACCTTTTCCGTCTTGTTGAATAAAATGATCGGTTGATTCGTAAAGGAAAACTCGTTGTGGATTCAAAATTGATTCGACATTGTAAAAATGACCTCTTAGTGTAAGTCGCATAATTATTCGGTGGACAACCTGTTGTGGAAAACCAACTATGAACTATAGTTTTCACTCTTGAATGTTTTGAAGTCACAAAATTTCAAATGAGGTGATTAATTTCTCAGGTAAAAATTACGTGTTTTTTCGAATATTTTTCAAAATGGCGACCATGAATTTCAATACGTGAATGGGTTTGCTCAATGACTTCAATCATTCTCAGAACAACATTAGGGACTTTAAGATGCCGCACAAAATCTACGACACGGACGTGACATGAAGACAGTCACTAGTGTTAGGAACCCAGTTTTAATCTGTTTTGCATGCTGCTTTCAATACGCCTCTGAATTTCATTACCAAAAGATCGAAGACTAAAATTTTTATTCCTGTTGTGAAACTATGGAAATAACGACAGTATTACTTCACGTTTGCGTCGTAGATTTGGTGAATCTTAACTTTTAAAGTCCCTAATAGGGAGTTTTAGCAGCGACTAGGAGTACGAGATTGGTCATTCTCGCGCGTTGTATGCATACGCAATCAGCCAAAACTCGTAGTCGCCGAGCTTTCGAGTACGAGTTTTTTGGCAAATTTCGAACGACTGCGAGATTTGGCTGATGGCGTAAGCAAACAACGCGCGAGAATGACGAATCTCGTATACTCGTACTCGCTGCTAAAGCTCCCTATTATCCCAGCGCTGGCGAAATCTACCACAGATGACAGGCCGGCCTCTTTGTTTAACTGCCTACTGACTACCCGCTCTGCCGAGCGCCTTGTACAGTATGTTTACATTTGGCTTAGAAATGGTTATCTTCAGCAAAATGGCATTTTACCAGCTGTAATGTTAGATATTGTTCGCGCCTCACAGCAAATGCGGGTATTGACTTTTATACTGTCATGTGAGGAAACTCGATGGAACGCCATTGCATTATCATGTGATACGAATAAAAATTTCTGATTGGATAATTCACGCTTGAGATATAATATGGACTTTAATTACCCATTAATGGTCGACGAGAGAAATACAAGATACGGTCCCAGTAAACTCTTGACCAGCGGTAATGGAATAGCGGCTGCCTCATCAACTACCACTAACTCAGCCTGACCGAGCTTCTGGGAATCACCTGGATGGATGTACTGAAAATAGATAAATTAAACTTAATAATGTTCTCATAGACAATATGTCGAATAATATGATGATTTTGTCAAAATAAAAAAATGTCGAAAAGTCTTTTGAATACAATACTTAACAGTCCTGGAGGAATTACAAAAGGGCAGAACAGTAAACCAAAATAATGACAAAAGTACAAAATAATGAATAGAAGCCTGGCATGCATTGAAAATCATATCCTAAAAGATCTCGACAAAGCGTTTCGAAAATCGTATATTTTATCATGCTAATATTAATAAACAAATAAGCATGTGATGTTGCTCGTATGATTAAGGATTAATAGTACTCGTTATGTTTGAAAATTTTGCTAAATCCCCCGGCGGCTTGTCCAATTTCTGCCAAATTTTCAAGCATCGCTCGTACTGTTGATTCCGAATTGTACTCGCAATCGCATGATTATTTATACCAATCACATTAGTATGATGACAATCATGGCACTTGTTATATAGGTGCTGTGTATTTTAAATGTGATGGCCTGGTTCATTCGTAGTCATTTATGTTTCCCGAGACGAACATTCAGACTCTTGGGAAAACAAAATTAACTATTCCCTCGGGAGCATAAAAGTGTATATTATTAACCAGCCTCGAAATTTCGGACGTAGACATACAGTAGATAAGGTCCCACAGCAAAAGCGCGGTCCCGCATAGCTCCTTAACTAGACCCATGTGAGTAAAATATTCTCACCTGTATAGTCTGCCTGTGCTCCCTGAAAACATTTACACGAACCACGGCTTTGTTAAACTCCGGGTTTGTCGACTGAACCAGTTCATAATCCAAATGTTCCTTGGCGAAGAAAAAAATACTCGAAACCATCAATCGTCAAAACACATGAATTATTTTAGACATAACAAAATTATTTTAGAGAAAAAATACTATAACATCGCATATAAAACGAAATTTTACCAAAATATGCAAATTTTGAAGTTTTTTAAAAAAATAAGAAATGTGTAAATGTAATATATGTGTAAAGTTTTGACCTGTTTTCGTACAAATTTTTGACTTTTCGGCCTGTTTACACTTGAGATTTTTGCTGCGATTTTTGATACACTTGAGATTTATGTGCGATTTTCTTCTTTTGATAGATGTGAACGAGTGAATTGGTTACTGATGCTGAAATAAGAGCTCCTATACATCAGAGCATTCGTAACTAATTACTCGTTCACATCTATCAAAATACAATACCTGGTAATCCAGAGCATCAAATCCTTTAAACACAAACTCGAACAATGTGTGAAGATTCTCTGGACTTGGCGAAGTTACAAATATATTGGAATATCTATAAGTAAAGTAATACAGTGCTGTAGGTGTAAAAAAAACAGCGGAGGGCTTCAATTCCATCCAAATGAAGATTCAGTGACCTCTAAGGATTAGTCTGGTGTAAAGGGTTGTATTGTATCCGCATATTTTGAACAAAAAAGGAGCAGGGTTGAAATACAATTAAGAGATTTGTGAAATGGAAAGAGATGCTGCGTTGTGTGTATCCTTGCATGGAGACATACAAAAATGATACAACTGCTCTTTCTGAAGTTGCTTACAATATCTAAGATAGTATTCGGTTGAAGTAAAATGAAATGACATCATTTAAAAGCTCACCCAAACGCAATTGCAGCAGCCATCGCCAGACCTAATGCGGCTGACTTTCCTCGACCTCGTGCAGCAGTCAAAGCCACAGTTGTCCTCAACGTCTTCTCAGAGATTGCTTCGATAAACTTTAGCACAGCTTTTGCCTGAGAGAGGAAATTACCGCGTTTATTAGATTACAGAACAAACTTACACATTATGTGCTTGGCCTATTCATGCAACATACCCAGTAAGAACACAGTTTAGATTTTTTGAAAACGTTTCTTCCCGCACGTAATACAAATTATACACAGTACAGAATTGCACTATATTTTTAAAAAAATTTGCAGTTTTAAATACTTCAAGATGACCTATATCTGCCTATATCGTGTTTAATTTTTTATGAAAGTCAAAAGCCTTGTGATATCCAGCAGGCCTCTAGCCCATATCTTTTACTATACATCACTTTGAGCGAAATTAAATAAAATATGAAAATTTAGTTTATTGCTGGCACCTGCAGCCCTTCCCTACTCAGATGTCTGTCTATAACCAGACAACAATAGTCTCGCGACGGTCAAATCATTCGCAGCTTAAGTAATATCACTTTACCTGATCAAGAGTCTTGCAACAGTTGACGATAACACCAACAGGTGGAGTATCTTCCAGGGACGACTTTAACTCTCGAAGTTCAACATCGTTTGGACTCACTGATTCTTCCTTTACAAAATGAACACATTTGAATTATTAGCCAACGATAAGGGAAACTTGATATACAGTTTCTTCATTTCACAACACTGCTTTGTCCACATGCAGGAATGTCGCATGGCTTTAAACAAAACTGACGCTCCACCAATTTTACCATTCCAGTCCATTGGTAAGAGCCATAGTTCAAATCCGCATTCAAAAGCGCACGAAATATTCTCGTGAAATAAGCACTGAAACATTATGATATAGTATATCTGCACTCGGCAGTGCTTTACGTCTGTCTCGGTGTCGCAAGATTGTGTCATCATCAGAGAAACATGATACAGGACAATTTATTTACGAGAAATTCAAAACCGCGTTGAGAACTCAATATGTGAACTTAATATGTGGGTTCAAATCCCGTGAACAGAACTTTAATGATTACGTGATTGAAATATTATTTCACTGTTAGCCAATAGACAATTAAAAAGGTATGTACCAACAACAATGCATAGGACCAATCAGAGCAGGAGAGTGGGAAGGGCCTTTTCACCGTGCTCAGACTTTGATCCCAGTGTCTGAGCACGGAGAAAAGACTCTGGATACGAGGTTGGGAAGTGGGAGCTAGGGTATAGATGAGCCCCTTAATCTCTGGCTGCAAAATATATGATTGACACTGCTTTTTGTTCAAACAACATCAGCCGGAATTTTTTTCGCTATACAATCAAAGTCATACCATGTATTTTTATTTATTTATTATTTATTATGCTTTGCCGGATACACACATTTACAGTACAATAATAAGCACAAATGATATACAATTACATGGCAGGGTATCCGCTACAGCTTACGCCAATTACAACGGGCCTTGACAATGATACAACACAGAAGACAAAACGAAAACACATTTAAAGGACTAATAACAACACGAAGTCGAACGAGACAGGTTGCTACTGGCCCCCCCGTAATCGAGTTTCCCGCTACTATAAGTATTATTAAAAATACCTTTGTCACTGGTGTTAGTGGTGTTATCTTTAATGTTTGAGATGAGATTGGTAGAACATTGAGACGATCATCGATAACCATACATTGCTTACATGAACTCAATGATAGAATAAACCTGAGAAAGAAACAACCAGGAGGGGGGGGGAAAGAAAGAAAATTTTTCAATTGTGGAATTCTTGAAGTTGAATTCTTGAATTATTTGACTGTGGAACATAGGATCAAGTTGGATATTCGGTAAATCAGTTACGATTTTGCGGCACTTCACTAGATGTAGGTGGATTCTAAAGGTTTTTTTAAAGGGTCTCAGCTAATTTCGAATGGAATCATACACAACTCAATTTATCGAACATTGTAAAACATAAGATCAGGTTGGACATGTAGAACATAAGATCATGTTTTTAGATTCCTGTGGATCGTTGGTGAAATGAGCCAAATATAGCTAGTATACCCCGCAGTTTAAACCTGAGAGGTAATGACAACACTCCTCGGGTTTTTTACCATCGGCAAGATTGGATGGCTGCTATACGAGTGTAATGCGGCAGTGGACTGTGGAGGGTTTTAATCGCAATTATTAACCAATGCTTCCTCAGCAAAGTATATTGTAGCTAAATTACCTTTCATTAAAACGTCCAACAACATCTTGATGAGACTCAGTTCTGTAACGAGCATGAACGTCCTGATAAGAGGGAAGATACATCCAGTTAGTTTATTAGGCTCACTGTTTTAATCTCAATTTTCTACTTGGGAAATACACCTATCATTAGAAAAACGATTGTTTTTATGAAATGTTAACATGAACATATGAATATACACCTCGAATTATCGTATCTAGGATTCAATATGGACAGCTGCACAACTAAAAACGATCAACAATACGTTGAGACCTGCATTGTCCACAGTTGCCATCAACTTTTAACAACAAGCAGATTTAGCACGAGGACGTCGTTGACCTCAAAATGGCGAATATATGGCGTGATGCGCCTATATATGGACATGCCATGTAATTTAATTGCCATTTTCACGTTGTCGTTGACGTTCATGTCTTCATGCTACAAAAACCAGCCTTAAATCCTTACATCCAATTCATTTTCAACAATATTGTTCAAATCGTTGTTCAAACATGTTGTTGACAAGCGTAAACAATATTGGCAGCACAACATTGCTTAATGCTGTTATAAACTGCAGGTTGAAAGTTTTCAGCTGTTTTATGACATAAAAAAGAGCACAAGCAGGGGCTAATCGCTGTAAATCACTTTTTAGCAGCAACAGATCATTGATGAATATTAAAAATTAGTACTTTTGCACAAGTGAATATAACAAATCCTACATTCTGATTGGTCAAATTTTACGTATTATGCTGTTATATTTACCTCATATAACCAAACCGAAATTGCAAAATGGCGGGTAGCCGTTTTGCGGACGTTTTTTACAAAGAGATAAGCGAACAAATGCAGTTCTTGTGTCAATTCACTTGTGCAAAAATAATAAAACGTGCTGTTTATATTCCCCTCGACATCGTCTCAGTGAATACTTCCCAATAATCACCTGGCCTTCGGCGAATAATTGTTAATTATGAAACGGAACTTGAACAATAAAAACCTCTTTCTCGCAAGGATGGAAACACTCACCATAGTCATTGTATAAAGTTGCTTCAATGACGTCATTGTTCGCAATAAAACGACAATTATTCCACCACCTTCAACTGTCTCGACTGTTCTGGCAAGGAGATTGGGAGTGAGAGCTTCAAAATCCTAGGATGAAAATAACAAGATACTAAATTGAGTTTCCAGCCTTCACACTCATCTTATACCAAATCAACAACGTGAACATATAGCGACATCAATCATATTAAGCATATGTGTAGGACAGAAACGACGAGTAAAACACACTTTAAAATAAGTGGTAATTACAGTTGTTGTAATTATTTTATCCTTCTTTCGTGTTTGGGGACAATTCTATGGAGGCCGATTTGAACATATATGATTTGAAGTAGCGTTCCCTGCGTCGTAAAATGCGGAAGTTCTATACTTGTTCTATACGTATACGTATACGTCATTGCAATACTTGAAAACCTGAGGTTTGCAGTTGTAAACAAAAGTGGACAATGTCTACATGCTATAATTATTCATAGTTTTATTTAATTAGCTACTAAATTTGATAACTGTCAGTTATTAAGGGCATCTAGAGGTGCAGTCATTACAAAGAGATCACTGATCTGATAATATACTGGCTTAATTTAAACCAGAATGTTCACAACTTTATTAGCAAAGTAATGTTGCCCACAAAATACACCACAATGCCTGATGTCTAAACAAGGAGGAATTTCAATTTTGAACTAATCCGCTAATTTGTTTAGGCTAAGCTAATCAGAATCTCTAAATTTTCAATACTTCATGTAAAATGGTAAAAAAATATACCTTTTTACCGGAAGTAGTCCATATTTATGTATTCTGATTAAATTACTGTAAAAAGCAGTAATATCAGTCTTAACCTGTCTCATGTTGTCTTACCGGAGTCTTACCTGTAATATGCACATGCCATATGTATTTCCAAGTATTTTATGTGTTTCATTATAATAACAATATCTGATGTTAGTTGATGATATAAACAACTCAAATGGATCATCTTTGTTCAAGTCTAATGTTCCACTTTTTATTTTCTTTTGCAGTTGTTTCATTCTCTTCTTCCTGTGACTGTTAAAAACGGAACAGAATGTCAGAAATATACCTTTAACCTTTTCAGTGATTATGACCAGGGATGGATCACCTGGGGGGGGGGGAGGCCAGTTGGCAGGTGTGGGTTGAGGTACATGCATGCCTGCAGCAGACTTGCATCTACAGTCAAAGATATTAGATTTGCATGTTTGTTAAAAATATTACAAAAAATAAGATGATTAGTAGATTGTTGGAGCCTCAAAAGACTCTAAACGTCCAAATACACTAAATTATTAAGTTGGGTAATGATTTTCATACGTAATCCCCCAAATTTGACTTTAAATCCAAATATGCAACCCTCCTGCACCCTCTCCGAATATGAGCTGATTATGTCAATCCTACCACTTCTAAGGTATTGTAATGGGACTGAGAAGATAGCCAATAAAATCAATAATGTTGATATATATAGATGGGCAATTAATTAAATTTGACTCAATCAACTGAAGAAGTTTGGTATAAAAATTTTACAAATCTCCACATATGAAATATTGTCTTATTAGCATTACCTGAACGAACACTGGGCTAGAGCATTGTTGATTTAATTATTTTACAAATTACCTGCTAAACCCAAGCTCCTTTTTATAACACCATAGAACAGTTGGTCTTGCCTTGATGGTTGCTTTTGATAGCATGTGATGGAGAATAACAACCTACAGAACATAACTTCAGTGGTTTGAAAGATGCAAAGGTGGTGCAAAATACCATTGACTGTGTGGTTAAGCTAGCAAAGGCACAGCAACAATACAATTAGCCTGTGCCCCAGTCTATACACGGAAAAGTAAAAGGCTACAATACAATAGTGAATAGTCCATCATTTAGGAAACATGCCCCAAGTCAACAAACCATTTTAGGCAGTTGTTATATATTTCAATAATTTCATAACACATTTCAGTTGCTAACATGTTTAAAAATATCAGTTTAAACCCAATTTAATAAAAATCCTATGTTACGATGTCGATGATAAGCCATCAGTGACAGTGATCAAGCATTATAAATTATGATGCAATGTGATCAGTACAAAGCATTTGTTTTATACCAACTGGCAATTTCCAACAACAGTATTTCATGCTCTAGCTGTCAGAGTTAATGGACAATAAAATACTAAGAATGAGGAAAAGCGAATATCTTGTTCAAATATAATTTGTTGACCGCGAGTGACGAGACGGAGTGACGCACGAGTGCAGAAATGCAAACGTGCTCACAAGCCTCACATAAGTCACATTCAAAAAACAAACAATCGCCTTACTTGATCCCTGCCTTTGTCCCCAACAATAAAAACCAAAGAACGGTGTCGCAACTGAACGCCATTCTCGATCAAAACTCGAATTCTGTTGTCGATTTTTTTCAAAACCATTTTTTAAAACTTATTTTATCTCAGTGGTCCGAACACTGCTCGCGCTAGAAGATAACGAAATGAATACCTAGCAAGGACTTCATCTTATACAAATATAATGGCTGCATTACCACTGAACTCTAATAAAACTGAAACTCCACAGAAGACTACCGTAATTACTCGAATAAACGCCTCCCTCGAATAAACGCCGCCCTCGAATAAACGCCGCAGGGACAAGCAAAAATATCATTAAACGCCGCCCTCAAATAAACGCCGCAACCTATTCCTCATTGCGGCGTTTATTCGAAGCATTTATTTATAACCACAGTTCAATTTTCATATACAGGGTGTCCCAAAAAAATGTCCCCTCTATTGAAATCAAGCCTTTGTTCGAATCTGATTGCCTTAATATTATGATAAACCCAATTGAAAGCAAGACGCTTTATTTGAATGCCTCAACCTAATAAATATGCTATTTACACACTACTGCGTTGATCATGCATTCAAATTCCAACAAAAGCTTCATTTCAATAGCGGGGACTTTTTTTTGGGACACCCTGTATAATTATATAAATAGAAAAGAAACGTAACTTTTATACTTGATTGATTGTATTGGTTGAATTGGCGTTTAAATTACACAATAAATTCAGAGTTGTTACGAGTTTGCAATAAACGCCTCCCTTGAATAAACGCCGCCCTCGAATAAACGCCGCATCTTAATTGCTAAAAATTCAATAAACGCCGCGGCGTTTATTCGAATAATTACGGTATTCAGGGGCTGTTATATGGAAGCCGGGCTGCCGCGCTTAGTGGGACAGCCGGCTAGCGAGATCTCGCTACGAATACATTTCCTAATGAAAATTTCTGTGCGTTTATATAGACAGGCAGTCTGCCCGCCGCTGGCTCTCACATCCCGCTCGAAAGAGGCGAGATCTCGCTTTGCGGGATGAAAATATTTTCATATAAACGCTCCAAGCGGGCTGCCCGGTTGCCGAGGTAGAACCAATTTTTGAACACTACATCATTAAAAACGAACAAACAGTGACAACCGAGGCTGCAACGTACTATAATAGATGCTAATACCCCGTTTACCGAGTATGAAGCCAATTTGCTGATTATTGACGCGCAAGCAAAAACGCCTTCAAAAAACTGGGGAGAGCATCGATAACTGAGAAATTCCGTAAAAATTCGCAGAAATTCCGTAAAAGAATTTTCTATATAACCCCTAGAGGACTTGCGCTCTACTAAAACTTGTCGCCAAAATGTGCTAGTAGCTCTGTGGTGCATAACCATGGCTGTCTTTGCAATTGAAATGCTTCTACAGTCCCTAAAGTTTAGGTGAGCATATTTTACCAAGATAAGCATCCATTGTTGGCCAAAAATACTAGACTAATATAGAAATTAAATATCACTAAAGAAGCATTGAAGAAGCAAAAGGATTTCTTTCTTTTTCATACAGAAATTCCAGTTATTAAACATAAATCAAACGGATTTTCGTCGGATTAATACATGCACTAAAACTGATGGGCAGCAACAAAACAATTGTGTCAATATATCGAACAAAAAAAAGTTAATACTAAAGTTAATCTCAATAGCAAGCTTTGATGTAGAAATAGTAAAGTCTTTCCAGCAAGCTTTCATGCAGAAATAGCAAAGTCTTTTCAGCAAGCTTTGACATAGAAATAGCAAAGGTTTCAGCAAGCTTTGATGTAGAAATAGCAAAGTCTTTCAAGGAGTTTTGATGTAGAAATGGCGAAGTCTTTTTAACCAGCTTTAATGTAGTAAAAATCCCATAACGACATCAATCTTTTGGAATCTGTTACTTCTTACTCTTGTCTGTTTTAATTTTTCCAAAACTTTGCCGACATATTGGGCATTGCGTTCTGAAACAGAAGTGCATTTGGTTACATATTATCAAAATTTTACCCTTGTCAACAAGGTACAACATTTGGTGGCACTTATACCTCATGCACGGGCTGGTTGTATACGAAGCCCGTTCAACTTAAATGGTGGACATGTACATATTTATCAGAGGGAAAAACTAAAGGTTTTTCGACACAAATACAAAAATACTATTACAAATACAACTACAAATATATATATAGCATATCTGATTTAAACTGTTCATCACATGTGCGAAAATGTACCGCATTCGTACAACAGGTCCCTTAGTAAAACAATCGATCAAAAATCGCAGGTGCAAACATGCCTTTTTGAAATGTTACGACTGTGCCTTACGAATGATTATTTGTTTGAAGTTAAAAAAAGACAGGTATGAAAATACATACATTCCGCTTCGCACCATTTGAGAAGCACACTCCTTATGAACCTTGTGCGAACACGGCAATATCTGACACCCAGTGAATGCATCCTAAAATAAAAATAGGCGAGGTAAGTCATTCAGTTAAGATTCCGTGGCACTTCACTCGATGTAGGATTATTGCTAAGTGTTGAATGGTCTTGATTTCGGGTGAAAATCATGAAAGTAGATGAAATTTCTCGAAATAAAAAAACCACCAGAAAAAGAATAGACAATTGTATTTTAGTTGTGATGTTGGTGAAACATGGCGTGGGGGTAGATGGGAAAGAGGGGGGCAAACCTACGGGGCGCCAAGACGCATTTTGATTCCGAGGATAGGCGGCATTTTTCATGGTCGTTTCGTCAAAGCCTGGTTCTCATATGTCGTAATTCATCGGTGATGTTCTACAATCCATTGCATGCAGTAAAAATTTTGAACAATGACGTAAATTTTTTTTCCGATAAACTAAGCATTTTATGCATTTAAGCATTTTATGAAGTAACTTAAACTCAGTATGCCCTGATATTTGACAGTGTGCCTACTTTAATAACCACTGTATCGCTGATCGGGGTTGCACAAATAAGCTAGCTAATGGTTTGGAATAAAAGTCAAAGGTATCAGTACTATTTTGAATTATGCCACCGACCGTCAAAGATGCTACCAACAGTCTACGGTAATTACCCAGCGTCACTTTCGACGCAATCACTTTTCTCAGAAACCCCAATGTCGCTAAAGTCAAAGACCGTATATATAGATCACAGCTCTCAACCAATCAAAACGCGTATAATACAACCCATAATTGATAGCGCAGCACGTACTTCAAAACAAATGCAACACTCGTCATGAGCAGAGCCTTCTCGACATCTATGATTTCCACGCAGATTAACATCAAGACACACACCGCAGACATCGCAGTGGAATGAACGATCACCGTGCACTCTAATAAAGAAAAAAAGAATTTCTTACAGCACTAAACGCAAACCATAGGCACACTACCAGGCCTATAGTTCAAGAAGAGGGGTGGGGGGGGGCAGTAAACATTTTTTTCAAATACCAGACTTCAGTTAAAATTTACCCCCCCCCCCCTCCCACAAAAAACATTGTGTTATCTAGTATAGCACGTACGACGACGCGGAAACGTAGTTAACATGCAACCACGTTTAGGGTCAAGAAACAAATTCTCACACTTGAAACTTACGCCTGTATTCAAAAAGCTCACTCACACTCACACTCATTGAGTGTGACATAAATATTTTGTTAATGCTGATCAATGAGAAAGTTTTTTCTGAATAGATGGAAAGATATAAGGTGAATCACTGAAAATCAAGCCCCTATTTGTCTGTAAATGCCGCCATTAAAACGTTATGAGAAGATGAAGATCTCCCACTCAATATATTTGAGTGTGAGTGAGCTTTTAGAATACAGGCGTAAGCCGTCGAGACCAGACGATTGCTCGGCAATCAGGTCGGCATTTGCTAAATCTGAAGTTAAGGCTTGCGTCTGGCAGAATTAACTATTTTCTACCTGCAAAATTGCTGAAATTTCATTGAAATAAATGTTCAAACTAACGAGATAGCCAAAGCAACGAAATTAGAGATCAATAATGCGTAAACAACTTCTTGTTAACATACCTACAAATTCCACATTTGTTACAATGAAATGGATGATTCTGTGTTCCAGTCAGATGCTGACAAATGGAGCAGAAATACTCGGCAAACTTCAAGTTACACTGAACACAATTTGGCGACTCTTTAGGAAAATCTTGTATCTTACCGCAACGACGACATTTCACTTTCTTTATATCACGAGATCTGAGCTTTCTTTCAGCGCACTGACTCTGGGAGTTATGACAACGATGACAAGGCCAGAAACGATCACAACATGCAAACTGAACAGTGCAATATCGATCATAATGGTCGCAAGAATAATCTCTATTCTGCATCCATGCTCTGATATCTTCCTCGTTTACACTACGGGTATTTTCCTCCGGGGGACTTGTACTCTGCGCATCTCTTTCTTGAGGAATTACACTCCGGGGAGTTGAATCCTCGGAACCTGTTCGCTGGTTGGATGCATTGCTGGTATCTGTTGTTTGGGCAGATGTAACCCCCTCGTTTGATTGATTGGCGGAGGTTTGTACCTGGGTACCTTCCTCGGATCCACTCGCCCCAGCTTCCGGAGCAGGCTGATGAGCGCCCGCTGAGGAGATCGATTCAGTGTCCTCTTGAACAGGATAAGCTGGTGGTGTTGCTGTACGTTGGGGTACATTACGGTACCTTCTTTGTAAAGTAGTATCTTGACTTGAAGTTGATGTTCCATTAGCTTCAGATGGCCACAATACATTCTGGTCAGCGGTAGTACCACTTTCTCCATCCACGGTCAAATTTGGCATTTCACGAGTGATGGATCTGGATTCTGCATTGCCAGTGCTGGTACCCTCGCGACGGCTTGTCTGTTCTGAGATTTGGCTAGTAACATCTGGCTGCAGTAAGCTATAGTCACCTTCTTGAATACAGTCCAGCAGGTGTACGAGATCAACACGTCCAATATCATAAAGCCCATTTCTGATGTACTCCGTATTACCAACCCGGATCATCTCTCGATTCTCCAATTCTTGGAAAAACTCAATATCGTTGGGGACATTTCTCAGAACTCTTGCTGGTATTTGGCGACCGACATAGCGTCGAAGCTCCTCCCAGTTTAAAGTGGTCATTCGTGTTACGATGCACTGTAGTAAGGTCCGAAGAGGAATTGAA